GGCTTTAAAAGGAAAGTGATTTTTTATGTAAAAAACAAATAAATAATAAAATTTGTAACATATTTTCTTGAATCATGTTTTTGATTTAATATATTTAAGAAAATATACAATATGAACGTTTGAAACATGAAAATATGTGCATTAATAATTTTAAAATGATTTATATGTATGCTTTTTTTAATACATTTATGTAAATTTAATAGCAAACTTATACACATAAAATATGTCAGATTTTAAATTGAAAATATCTCAATATATAAATAAAAAATTGTTGTGTAAAATACTGCAAAAAATATATATATTTACACGTACTACTCATTAATTTATATTTAATTACATATCTAACACTTGGACTTTAATTTTTACATATTTGCCATCTTCTTTATGCATAAAAGTTGCAGTTCATTTATAAAAAAAAATTGAATGTAAAATTTTTACGTGATATAAAAGATTTGGTAGGTACTTGTATAAAATTAAAATTTATAGCTAAGAAGATAAAATAAAGCATGGAGTTAATCATCTCAAAAGGGTTCAGTGTTGAAATATATTTTTGAGATCGGGCCAATGGATAGGTCGTGCTATTCAAACTTTCATGAAGTCAAATTGGACTCGGGCTGGGCTAAACTAACAAAATTTATTTATAGTTATAACAAAATTTATTTATTGCGTGCGTATTACTGTTATTCGGGGGTATTGGAGGGTTAGTCGCTGTTATTGGGTTAATACCCCCAATAACCTCACAAAAACTTCAAATGACAGGAAAAAAATGAGCGTCAAACCGCGAAATGTGTTGGTAGATTATTGAAAGATTATTAAAATATTATTGAGGTTAATACCATAATAACTTCCAATAATTGAGTTATTCAAATATTATCCAAATGCCCTCCTTCGGGCGTACGAAGATAATCCTGTCCTAACCACCTATTTTTTGTGTGCTGACTCCTGACGTAATTCTACGTGTCGCGGAGGTGATTCATGAGTTATTTTCAAGTTATTTTTGGGTTATTTTCAATAATCCCGAAAATACCCAGAAATAACCCAAAAAATAAAAATCGCATGTTGTTTCGGGATTATTGAAAATAACTAAGAAATAACCTGAAAATAACTCAAGAATAACCTCCGCGGTACGTTGAGCTACGTCAGGTGTCCTCATTTGTAAAATAGATTGTTAACACTATTGTACGTCAAACCGCAATGAACTTTCGACGAAAATTTCTTATAGATATGCCATTGACGTAGTCTATGACTTGTGAGTGGAAGACAATCATCAATGACTCTTAACATCGCTTGATTCTGATCGGTAAAAATTGTAATTTGATGTTTATCATTCATTAATCGAATGAATATTTTGAATAACCACTTGAAGGACTATATTGTCTCGTAGAATAAAAAATCAAATCCGAAGAGAACATTTTGTCGATGGTGGTTAATCCCTACAAAAGGAGCATAAAATAATTTATACTTATTCAAACGGTAGCTAGTGACAAAAAAATGACAACATCCCCAAAACAATCATAATCAAGCTTGCAAGACCCATCACTCTAGAAAAAGCTTGTAAGTCTACCCTCCTCATTACTTTGAAAGTCCCATGCAAACATGTTATCCTCAGTTTGTCGTTACATGAATAATTGTAACAGAGAGTTGACATCACCTTGTTCAATTCAACTTATTCTTTCCCTTTGAATAAAGTTATAGACATCTTGCCTTGTACACTACAAGTTTTCAACTCCTCAACCTCTGCAGCAAGTAAATTAAATGCGTATGCTGCTCTAATCCCTGAACCTGTTATTTATCTCAACAAATCTGGATTTAACTCGTTAATCTTTTGACTAGAACGTAGAAGATGCTTGTCACCGTATTCCACCAATGGGTAGTTATGAGTTTCGACAAATTTCTTTATCGTCCATCCCCAAAACAATCATAATCAAGCTTGCAAGACCTATCACTCTAGAAAAAGCTTGTAAGTCTACTCTCCTCATCACTTTGAAAGTCTCATGCAAACGTGTTATCCTCAGTTTGTCGTTACATGAATAATTGTAACAGAGAGTTGACATCACCTTGTTCAATTCTACTTATTCTTTCCCTTTGAATAAAGTTATAGACATCTTGCCTTGTGCACTACAAGTTTTCAACTCCTCAATCTCTGTAGCAAGTAAATTAAATGCGTATGCTACTCTAATCCCTGAACCTGTTATTTATCTCAACAAATCTGGATTTAACTCGTTAATCTTTTAACTAGAACGTAGAAGATGCTTGTCACCGTATTCCGCCAATGGGTAGTTATGAGTTTCGACAAATTTCTTTATCGTCCAGTTGCCATCAACATCAACAGCATAGCGAACCATTGCTTGATAACCAATCATTGTATTCGCTTTTTTGTACTTCACCGTATTGACAACCTGTGATTCTCTCTTATGACTTGCTTTTCCACAAATATAATTCTTAGACTTAATTTGCTTGAATTTAGCCCAGTAAATGTCGTGGTCCTTGTGGACAGTGAAACCAACATGATGTGCATAAGCGCAATAGTGTTCATAAGCCTCTTCCTCATTATGAACAATAGTATTAAGAAATTTATGAACAATTGGATCATTGCAATCATTTTCTAGCCCAGGTAACTACAAATTTAAATTATACCACAAAGATAGTCAAATATGCAGATAAGAATAATTTTTTTAAGTTTTTCTTGGGTTATTATCGGGTTATTAGTTATTTCAACAATAACCCGCAAATAATCCGAAAATAACATTGTAATAACACTAAAATAAATGTAAAAGTAAATGGAAATAACCCGCAAATAACCTCAAAATAACACCAATATATGCAGATAATTAGGATTTTATAGGTTTTTGTTGAGTTATTGTTGGATTATTATCGGATTATTAGACATTTCTTCAACATTAACAAAAAAACAACACAATAATAACACTCAAATAATTGTAAAAGTAAATGGAAATTACTCTAAAATAACCTCAAATAACCCCAATATATGCAGATAAAAAGGATTTTTGTAGGTTATTCATGAGTTATTAGCTATTTCTTCAACAATAACCTGCACATAATCCCAAAATAACATGATAATAACCCTCAAATAAGTGAAAGTAAATTGAAATAGTCCTAAAACTTATTGTTAGGTTACTCTAGGTTATTGTTGGGTTATTCTCGGGTTATTGAACATTTCGTCAAAATAATTCTAGATAACTACGCCTTAACCACAAAATAATAATAAAAAAAAACGGATTTGGTTATGCAAGAAAACTCAACTCCATTTCATACGCGTTGACATTATTTTCGTAATACATACTCCCTATTCTTAATTAAGAGAGAAATCTATCTCCATTAAAACAACAAAGTAATCGTGAGACTGCAATGATTAAATCCTAACAGAGCCAAAAAAATATTTTTTGAAACAAAATATTTTTTGAAATCCTATTTTTCTACTGTAAAAGCCAGAATTGAAGTTTCTGAGGTGACGAGGAGTACAAATCCAAAAAGGACGAGCGAAGACGCTGAAAAGGAGCTGGGATATTGGGCCGGATCGGGCTTCAGCGCGACATTTTAATTTTTAATTTGATTATGTGAAAATGTTAGGAGCAAAAAAAATATTTTTTGAAATCCTATTTTTCTACTGTAAAAGCCAGAATTGAAGTTTCTGAGGTGACGAGGAGTACAAATCCAAAAAGGACGAGCGAAGACGCCGAAAAGGCGCTGGGATATTGGGCCGGATCGGGCCGGATCGGGCTTCAGCGTGACATTTTATTTTTTAATTTGATTACGTGAAAATGTTATACCCGTAATTCCATATGGTGGAATTTAACTAAAAAGATGTCCTTGAGGGCACCTTTGCTCACGTGGCAGACGATTGGCCATTTCTCGCTTCACACCCTCGAACTTGATCGCCTCCACCGTTGGTCCCTTCTTCCGATAGGATTTGGCCGGAGAAATCGAGCTCCAAGAATGTCGAAAAAACTCCTTCTAAATCCCTCCCTCGGGCTCCAAGCCCTAAGCCCCCGCAGGCAGTTCTCCACCCTCTTCCTCCAAACTACTTCTCTACCCACCCTTCACATCCCCTCTCTTCATACACTACCCCAGCCGACCCATCGCATCGCTCGTCGCGCCCCCCCCCGCC